CCTTAAGTAGAACACATCTGATTACATTGCCCCAGTAATGGTGCCAATGTCCCATGAATCAAAATTCATGCCTCCTGTGCTTTCATTCATGGATTTCCCCCTGAAAAGCTTCTTGCAAAACTAGGTGCCATTTTCTGATTGTTTCTTACCCTCATCCTCCAGTCCTTATCACAATCAATCACTTGCTTTCTCCTGACTCATTGCATTAATCCTCCCTTCTTAATCCTTGTTAATTTTCATTTCATCATTATTCACACAGTTCTTCTTACCTGCCACTACCACTTGCTACAGCCTGGGCATCCCATTCTCTGTATGCAGGATAAATTCTGTACATCAAATTTTAGGAGCCAACTTCATCAACATCCTGTTTTCACTCCACATCGCCCCTATAACCCCTCAGAAGATTATTCATTAACAAGCTCTTCCCATTTCTATCTTTGTCTCAAATAAACCAAATGTGAATTCAAGGCGTTCTGGGCTCGATTTTACACCGATTTCTCCTCCCCATACTCTACCATCTCCTCTGCATCATACCCTTTCATTTTGCTTATCTTATGTTGCATCCTCACCTCTTGCATTTCAAGTTCCTACTCAACTGTACTCCAAAGCCTCCTGTATCTCCCTTGCAGCAATTACATTTCTACACGTCTTGTCCTCAACATTTTCAACCTGCAACCACCTCACCATTAAACAAGAGTGACTGCTATCAAACACGTGGCCTTACATTAAACAGCTCATAGACATTCCTGTAGCTTTAGATAGGAGAAAGTGCATTCAAGATATGAAAGCAACTTAAGAGATGTGCCTTGCCCAAAATCTTTCAGCTACTTCAACAGCACAGTTGTAAAACAAGTAGCACAAGTGTTTCTGGCAAATAGGAACTCAATATTCTCTGCTTAGGCTCACAAATACACTAATGGTCACTTATTCAAAAAGATTAATAAAGAAGAATGCCAAGAAAATAAAAATATCAGGTGTGGATGGGTACAGATCCAAAGCAACTCTGCAATGTATATTCAGTATAAACTTTCTCACTAATCCAACGGCAGACTTGGGTAGCTTTTGGTGGTTGTGGGGTGGTCGATGATGGAGAAGTGAACAAAGAAAACAATTTAATTACATGAACAACAATAAAAACTTTATGATTCAAAAATCAAAGCTGTTGTGCACTTTCATCCAACTGCCTGCGCATTATTGTAACAGTCAGAGAATAGAGTACTCACAGGTCCTTAATTTTGAGTTGTCGTGGAAAACAATTATTTTGGATTTCAGTAATTTCATTGTAGGTTAGGTCGAGTGTTTCTAGAGACTTGTAGTAGCTCAAGTGATTTGCCTCAATGCTGCGGATCTTGTTGTGGTGCCTGTTAAAAATAAACGTCGCATATGAAATAAAACTTCAAGAGAATTAAAACAAAACAAATCACTCATGTCTTTTGTCATGATGACAGATCAAAATCCCAAGTACATCTGGGGTTGAAACTTCAGTACATCCGCAAGCGTTTTTATAAAAAGATGACTGCTACAGCCAAAATATCATTGCAGATATATACCCATAGAATGTCACACCTGCACAAACTACGACAAAAATGGAAAAGATAATGAGAGGCTGATACCCAACTCGCTGAGCGGAAGCCATCTCCTGAAGACAACATTTTGTATCTCAGAAAGGGTATTACACAAAAAACAGCTAAAGATCGACCGCAACCAGTGGTTTGTCGGTGTAATGACTTGACTGAGTAGCATGTGAATAAGTTTGCTGTGCAGATCACAGCCTTACAGCAGTGATTAATTACTCCTGCAGTGCAGGTAAAGAAGAAATAAAACTCTTTGTGGGGGGGGAGAAAGAGAGAGAGACACTTTTTCTAACTTATAAGCAGAGTGCATATTTTCATTTTTAACATTCTAATCAACATAAGATACTAATCGTAGAATCCCTACAGTGTGGAAACAAGCCCTTCAGCCCAATAAGTCCATACCGAACCTCAAAGCATCCCACCCAGACCCACCCCGCTATAACCCACCTAATCTACACATCCCTGAACACTATGGGCAATTTAGCATGGCCAATCCACCTAGCATGCACACCTTTGGACTGTGGGAGGAAACCGGAGCACCAGGAGGAAACCCACGCAGATACGGGGAGAATGTGCAAACTCCACACAGACAGTCGCCCGAGGCTGGAATCGAACCCGAGTCCCTGGCGCTGTGAGGCAGCAGTGCTAACCACTGACCCACCGTGCCGCCCCTTGCATTTTATACATTTTATATCCATCCTGAAGAATGGACCCGAAACACTGACTCTGCTCGCTCTCCACAGATACTGCCAGACATGCTGAGTTTCTCCAGCAATATCGGTTTCTGTTTCAGATGTTTTAGTCCATGGAAAGGATTTTTGTTTCAATCTAATCAGTTCTTTCAAAACGATTTAAATAAAACATATCATAGCAACTAACCACTGGCATTTGAATGTAATTTTTAAATCATAGAATCTCTACTGTGCAAAGAGGCCATTCGGCTCATCGAGTCTGCATCAAGCCTCTGAAGAGAATCTCATGAAGACCTACATCCCACCCGCTCCACCACCCCTGTAAATCCATATGGCTAGGCCAACTACCCTGGTCATCCTTGGATACTATGGGACAATCTCGCATGGTCAATCAACCTAAACTGCACATTTTTGGACTGTGAAAGAAAACCAGAGCACCAAGCAGAAACCCATGCAGATTTGGGGAGAACACAAACTCCACAGACAGTCACCCGAGGTTAGAATCAAACCCAGGTCCCTGGCGCTGTGAGGCAGCAGTGCTAACCACTGTGCCACCCAAGGTTTGGCTGCTTGCACACTTCTTCAGTTACATGGAAATAGGGTATTTTACACTTCAGATGTATATTACTCAAGCACAATGGCAAGTTCTCAAACTAAGTTTTGCTATATTTCTATACAATTTATCCAGGCACAAGTAACTGAATTAAATTATAAAGTGCATGACTGAATCAAAGATACAGCATGTTCAACTACTTGTGGGGGAAAAAAGTTTCAAACCCAACTCTGCCACCATATGCCCTGTGGAAGTTTTAATACTGAAAGGATGACAAAGTGCAATAGTTAAGATTATATTTTGGTTTTTTCCAGGTGGCTTGTCTCATTTCAGCTGTTAGCTTTCCACATAACACCTGCACTTTCAAGTTGGTGCATCATTTCACGCCAATACCAAAATTTCCTTCAATGCTGCCCCAAGTCATTTTTAAATCTTTTCAGAACAAGAGTAAACATTTACAAATTGATGAGATGCCAAATGCTCACATTTTGAGCAGTTTAACAGAATCATTCATGCTACCGTGCATTACCTAAATGCTGCATATTTAATCTCCATTGCAGTAGAAATCAAAGCAAAAGGAAGTGTAACACAGGATATCTTAAAGCATTTTACTGCCAAGGAAATACTTGGAAATGTAGTTCCAGTTGTAATTTAGAAAATATGCTAGCCAATTGACCAGTTCTTTTTCGTTAAATGTTCTTTTGTTATAGAACATCTGCAGTATCATGTGAAGTTTCAGTGACTATCCACCATGGCAACCAACTGCAAAAATTAAACATCTGATCTATCAAGCCAGGTTTCTTTCTAGGATCTAATTTGTCCAATATCACTACTAACTGGATCATAACACCATGTTAATATGCTATCCTATATTCGTGAGCCTTATCCGGCCTACTAACTTATATGACATTTGTGGGATGCCTTTTAGAAATCTAGGTATATCATATCTACTGGTTCTTCCTTATCTCACTAATTATATATTCAAACTCCAGTAAATGCATTAAAAAAGGATTCCCCTTTAGTAAAGGCATTTTGACTTGTTTTAATCGTATTATGCTCTAAGTGCGTTAAGACTTCTGTAATAGATTCCAGCATTTCCAATAATCGATGTTAGGATAAATGATCCTTTAGCTCCCCATTATCTCCCTCCCTCCTTTCTTGAAAAGCAGTGTCACTTTACCAACTTCCAATCAGAAGGGTTCATTCCCAATTCTAAGCAATTTTGGAAAAGCATACGTAGCATGTCCACCATCTCTGCAACTATCTTTTAGAATGCAATGGAGTAGGCCATTTGCTGCTCGGTTCAAGTTTTTCCAACATTTTTGGTCTGTAGATATTAATTTCTTTGCTCTTCATAGCCTCTGGGTTACCATTTCTGGAATGAAACCCATGACTCTGTAAGGAAAACCGGCAAAACATTTATTCATTTTTCCTGCCTCTGCTTTTAAAATACCGACACTTATTTCAGTTACTCTCTATCTTATAACTTAAAATAAATGCTCTTACCTGTTTTTATATACTTAGCTAGCTTACTCTTATTCTCTACATTTTCCCTTTTAAATCAATGTTTTGGCAGCCCTTGGTTGTTTCCTAAAACTCCCCCATCCTCAAACTTATTCCTTTGCTTTACAGTATTTTAAGCCAATCCTTTTATTCAAATACTACCACAAATTCTTAAGTGAGCCACAGATGTGTCTTTCTCGCTAACATTTTGTTTTCCAATGCAACGTGCCTTCAGTGAACATTCTGAATAGTTATTTAAATGTTTCCCAGTGCTATTTACAACCATACCTCAGCCAATTACACAACACGAATTGTTTAACAATCTGATCAATAATGTCATTATTGTTTGAGAGTCTATAATCTACTCCCAGCAAAGTTTTTTGACTTCAGAACTGAAGAGAAGAACCATACTGGGCTCGAAACATTAACTTTTTCCTCTCTTTTGCTGTTTGAGATTTTTCATGTTCCTGTTGATCTTTTAGTTGCGCAGTTGGCTTCAGCCTTCTGCTTGCTGTAAGGCCACACTCCAACGACTGAGGCATTCTTCAGTTTGAAATGAAATGCTGACTTCCACCTCTGGGAAAACTAAAGCATGTGTGTAAACTTTGCCCTTGACCAGACACCGGAGTGACCTTTCCTTCCTGGAACTTGTAAATATATGACAGATTTCACCATAACTCCCATAAAGTGCGTGTGCAGGACCCATCAATTGGGCATCCCAAGCCCCCTCAACCTTACTGTAATCTTTAGTTTCCCCAAATGTAATCTGTCGCACCTAGACTGCAACTCCCCCAACTACGTGTGCGGCTCCCTAACAAGTGAGGGCATCTGCAGTAACCCATTTAGCTGATTATGGTAGAAGCACTCGGGTGTGGCAGTTGAAACACAGCACATTCTTTTGCTGGTGATAGATGCTCTGCACTCTCACTTTTATTGACAGCATTAGGATACAAACATCAGAACAATGCAAGTGAATACATATTTACAAATGTACAGATTACAGACAAAGATTAAATGCCTGTGCCACCAATGTGCCCTCAGAGGATTCTTTTCCCTCTTTCTCCCAAGAGTCTAGGTAAAGACCCAACGTCCACAGCTGGAGTAGAGAGATCCAAAGGATTGGTATACCTGGTGACTTTGAAGACATTGGGAGGACATTCCTTGGGCTCAAGGCCTAGGAAATCCCAGATCGTTTAGGACATCCCGCAGAGTCACTGCCCTTGACCTGAGCTGCCGGAGGCAATGGGTTCACTGGTAGACGGGAGGTGGAGAGGCAGGGTGCCTGGAGTGTCATGAGCATAAGCTGCAAGGTTGTTAGTCTGTTGTTTGTTTTCTCACCTTGTCTTAAACAGCAGCAGCATCTTCAGCACCTAGATGGAGATGCCTTATTCATAAGCACCAATGGCTAGATCAATAGCACTGCAAATATAAATGCATATCCAGCAGCCATGTGAACATTTCTTGAAGGCAGCCTCCACCCTTTGCATGGAGGCAGCTAAGCACTCACATACTGCAGCCACTGCAGCAGCAAGATCATTGATGGACTCATCCATCTTTCAAGGCCTTCTGGCATCTCTGAAGTTCTCCTGCCTTTCTCTGCAAATTGACTATATCACTTAGGAGTATGGAGTCACAAGTAATGGACAGGGCTCAGCTGGAGCGGTCTCCGGCACACCAAGCGTCAGAGACCTTAGGTATTTCTTCCTCCACGAGCTGCAGAGGCAGGTCAGTGATGCACTCACCAGATTGTGTTCCTGAGTCTAATTTGACTACAGTAGCCACTGAGATGATTGTGCCGTTGGAAGATGAGGTGAACGCCTGATTGATGGGTTCTCTGAGGCTTCAAAGGCTTCCTCCTCAGAGGTGAAACTGGCAATGACAGGCTAGGGCTGCAGCGTCTTGTGCTGGGTGCCGCTAGTGCCTGCAGAAGAGTAAAATAAAGAATTAACTTGTGAAAATGCCCAATAGCTTATGCAGACCAATATTTGTCTGCAGGCACATGTGAGCAGTGTGCAAAGTGCACTGTTGCTTATTAGGTT